AACAGATTCTGAAAATAATTCTGAAAACTTCTCAGTTTCTTGCTAAAATGAGAAGTTGCTGTGGTAGCCTTTCGAAAACATTGTGTATCCCTAATATTTAGTTGTTAATAATTCATTAATACCTGTCCTCTGATGGTATTTGTTTAAACCTTCACCTTCCTGATGTTTCCAAAGAAGTCTTAACCACCGCTATTAAGAAGGAAATAAGTAAAGGAGCATAGTGAATACTTCAGAGAGAAATGGTGTGTTTTATAATTAGAATTCATTTTTTAAGAACTTCTTTTGTCGTATGTGTTGGCTTGCTATTTATACTGATTGTGGGTAGGATTAAAACCTATTTCATGTTGTCTCCTGATTGGGTATTATTTAAAGAGGAATTAAGATAGTATTTGTTATTCAAAGGTAACGTCTCAGTGTTACAAGTAGTGACTTTGCTACAGGTCTGTCACTTCGTATAGTAATTATATTTTACTGGAAGTTCTTGGTCTTGTTGTTTTTAACAGTGAGACTATTTCCATTAATTCCTTAGGATAATTAGAGTGTAAACCCAAGGCTTAATCTGTATTCTCTGATGCTTAAGAATATATACAATAAGCAAGGGAATGTATATTTATGATTATCTATAGTGTTTTACAATGCTTATATATTTACTTGGATTTAAAAACCCAGTTTCTTGGAATTCTATAGTGATTGTTGCTTCAGGGTTTAAAAAAAAAATGTAGAAGCCTCTGGGAAGATAGAGGCAAGTGTGATTTAATCATCAGTGCTGGGTACATGGAGCTTTTTTCATACTCAGTAATTTCATCTGGTGTAGCCAGACTGCTTTTTGCAAGTACGACGTTAGCTGAGTGTGCGTGTTGGAATGTGCATGCCCAGAATAGCCATGAACTGACAGCAAATGGCATTTACAGTTGCAGTCACTTAAGAATTATTAGAGCATTTAATACCTGGTTATAAAATCTGTATTTATGGAGAAAATGCCAAGAAACACTATAATTTGCAATTCTTCTGAATTAAATGCATACTTCTAAAACTGTAATACACTTTAGAATCTGAAGTCCAAGATTTATAGGGCTTCTCTGATTAAATTTTTGTGGTAAGAGAACGTAGAGGAGGTCCGTAAGTGGTGAGCTTGTCTACAGCATCCTCAGAGTATTTACCTGTGTATAAGGTGAAGAAATTTTTTGAGTTAGCGGTGAATTGGTTCAACCAACTTCGCAGTTTACTTTCACAACATAGGTGTACAGACAGTTTGTTTAGATGTTTAATTTCCCCCATCTGTTCTGTCAGGATTATTGGTTGAGCAGAGCCATCCCCGGGTGTGCATCCCGTCCTGGTGATCGCTCGTCTTGGGTGCACTTTGGCGCCTGGCGAATAAGCTGGGAGTGGTGTCCCCTCAACCTCCAGTAAATCCTAATTGCTAGAAGAATACTGGAATGAAAATGTTGTCTGCAAGTACTCACTAACCAACTAAATACTCACGTTAGTAACTCCCATCGGTGGTATGATTTTAAAATAGCTTTTTTAAAAATTATTGTTTTATTTTCTCAGTATTCGTATTAGCAGCTACAGAAATCACCTGCGGTGATTTTTTGAATTCGCTTGTTGTTTTGTAAAAGGACATGACTCTTCTACCAAATATGACCACATATGAGCCCAGCATTTGCAGAACATTTCATTGTCACTGGCTTCTGCTCTGCTTCCCTGAGTCCCGGGTGTCTTGATGTCAGAAAGTAAAACCACATCTGGCGACTGGTGGGAGATTGAAACTCAGTCTTATTTCCTAGAGCTCAGGATGGCGGGTTGGCTTGACGTGACCTGTTGTTGTTTTTTGGCGTTTGCATTGAAGTGTCCAGGTTCTCTCTCGCCTTTATCTCCATTTGGGCATCTGTGTTAAGTGTAGTTACAAATTAAAGCTACAGAGAACAGTAGGTCTAGAAGGATAATACCAAATGAAATTGGGGTTACACATTGGGATATCTGTATCATGATTTGAAAATTAACTTGAAATTAATATCTTTTGAAAATCACAAAATGGAGAAACAGGAATACCAAATGTCTGCATTGCTATTTAAACCTTGAGTTTAGTTTAAATGTCAGTAAATGTTGATTTTATGGAAAAGAGTTGGTGTCCTTAGAATAAGTTTATTCCTTCAAAATAAATGTTTTACTGAGTTACTTTTTAGAGGCAGATTTTGATGTGCATTTATAGCCAAGTTATATAATAAGTTGCATTATAATGGAGCTGCAATGTTCTTAACCATTGTTGTACCTTTATGTTGCCATTCAACATTCTCTTGGCTCAGCTCTGATGATAATCATGAAGTAAGTTAGCCTTCCTTCCTGCCCGAAATGAAGTCTGGAGGTAGAATTGCAACTGGTTAAACAATGTAAATTTTATATGTTACAGTAATTTTAGGAAAAGAAGTTCTCTGAGTAAAGGAGACTTATTATCTCCAAAGATAGCAAAAAAGAAGCTGTGGATTTTAATTCCATCTGGACTTTCTAGCGTATTTCAAAATACTGTGTTTTGAAATAATTCGTATTTGCAGAGAGAAGTTTGTATGTTCCAGATACCAGCAATACTCTATTTTGGTTTAATGTGTATTTCTTCTTCAAAGTAGGAGTTGAATAGCTATCTTTGTTTTTAATTGATAGCTCTTAGATAAGGAAGTTGTCTTAAACAGTCAGGAAGACAGCGTCCATTTTGTTCAGTTACAAAGTGATAGAGCCAACATTTATGATGCATTGTGTAGCTCTGTATATGTCTCTATATATGTGTGTATATATCTATATATTACTTAAAGCACATGTTCAGGAGCAAAAAGCATTTGAGAATCAGTATTCATTTGACAAAGCAAAATAAAATACATATTTGATTAAACAGACATTTTTACAATGCACTATTTTTCAGTTGCTTATTTCTCTTCAAAAATAAAAACCGTTTTTTTGTACTCCCTTTCCTTTCTGGCTGCAAACCAGGTATTTAAACAAAAATAAAGGATTGCCAGTTTTGCCAGCTGGGGATGAGAACCCGGCTGGTGAAATGTGGGTTCAGGAGGCAGTTAATCCAGCTTTTATGCTTTTTATGGTTTCACAAAAAAGAGGTTAAAAACCACATTTGGCTCTTACTCATGTGCGCCTCTGTTTTGTTAGTGTTGCAGGAATGATGTAAAAGGTTACTTCAATTTTTAAATATTTTGTTATTAGGTAAGATCCTAATCCTAGTGGAATTAGTAGATAAAGGCCCACAAAGAATTCAGTCGACTATGTGGACATGATGTAGAGTTCTTGAATAATCAAAAGTCACTGCATTTAAAATAGTGTAGAGTATTCCTTTGACTTAAGTTACAAATAGAACTTCTGCTTATGTTTTCTGTATGTTTTCATATAAATCATTTCAGTCCAGTAATAACTTTATATATATTTGCCTGAAGATGGAAACAAGAACTTGTTCTTACCCAAAGTACTTCTGCATAGTTGGGATGTACAAAAGATCTTAGAAAACATAGGAACTGAACTTATATAAACATCTTGGCAATGCGGTTACTAGTGTCTTTCATTGCAAAACACTGATACAATTGAATTAAAACCCTTTTTAATTTCGCATTTTAGAAACATTGCTGAATATCTTAGTAACAGATTTTTCTTGAAATTACCTCTCCATCTTAAAGTACCCTGTCCATTTACTTTTCACAGTATTCAGAGTAGTTACTGTGTATTTGTCAGGAATATCACTTGTAATTCTACAATATGAATGGTAAATTTTAAGTAAAAGTCAAATATGTGGAATCAACAAAATATTTAATTCAAACTACAAGAATTTGGAACATGAGTACTACTTTTTTTAAATCACATTTTCTCATATAACCAGTTATATGAGAATACACCATTATAAAGAGAATACAACTTTTTGCTTGATAACCTTCATGGTATGGGTTTCTTTGTTTATTCCATAGCCAAAGGACCAGATAAAGAAAACTTTAAGATTATTCAGCTCTCATCAGTTAAAATCAAATATTGAAAGTTCCAAAGTGATGAAAAAATTGTACCAAAAAGGTAAAATCCTGTACAAGGTTCAAGTCAAATCATCTGGGACAAATGGCAAGTTACCACATTCCATTTGGAACAGGTGACTCTTAAGATCGCCTGATACTTTTATATCTCTTCTTACCAAGTTTATTTTGCATGTAATGTGTTAAGGAAACAAATCCATACCACAGAGGCATACACCACACAGATACTGAGCCGATGACTATTTTGTATGTGTGTTTAACAGAATTTTTTGTTAAGAGCTTTGGATACTAAAGTTTTTTTACAACGCAAACAAAAATAGTTTGGATTCACTTGACTTGCTACAAATTTCCTGAAATAGTCTAAACATGTAGGGGCCTCCAAAAAGTTTGAAATTTATTTTAATGCTCTCTGCTCCTTGCTCATTCCTGCCCACTTCTGTCTTTCAGTGCGTATTTTGTATTACTTTGTAGTTGTTAATGCAAGAATGTGTAAGGTATGTAAGGTACCTTATATATAAATATAGCTGTGTATGAATACACACACATACATGCTTATATGTTACGTAAAGTCCATGTGAGTAGAAAGAGAAAGAAAAATTAAGTAGGCCTAAGAGAAGACCTATAAATGTGCTGATGGTTTTCATTTGATCCCTAGTGCAGGCCTCATACTCATTTACTTGGATTTGTTGTATGATCTCTGACTTTTCTCTGCACTGACCATTTATTTTTATCAATACACACCTGTAACATACGACATAAATAAATGCCAAGTGAACACTAAACACATGTATGCCTCACATTTCACATACCTTGTGTGATTAAAAACTTTTACAGGACGCTCTGTAGGGTAAATGTCAAGAGCTCAGAATTTCTTACCTTAAGGTTGACTCTTAGGGTTCATTTGGATGTAAAAATCTTATAATTTATCGAGAAAGCTTTCAGTCAATGTGTCGTAACCAGGCCTTTTCCTGGTCTTACTTTTAGGTGTTAGAAGATAACGACTACGGCCGAGCCGTGGACTGGTGGGGCCTGGGGGTGGTCATGTACGAGATGATGTGCGGGAGGTTGCCTTTCTACAATCAAGATCATGAGAAGCTTTTCGAGCTTATACTAATGGAAGACATTAAATTCCCTCGGACACTCTCTTCAGATGCAAAATCATTGCTTTCAGGGCTCTTGATAAAAGATCCAAATAAACGGTAAGCCGCAAACAGTGCTCAGCCCATGATGATGACTGTGGTTGGAGATTGTGCTATGAAAATTAACTCAGATATATCGAACTCCAAGAAGTAATGTGTTTGTTGTACACATCATTCCCCTGAGAAGCTGACTTGTTTTTTTTTTTAACTGAAGAATATAGAATGTTCCAAAAATTCCTTCCATTCTTTGCTAACTTGGGTATTTTCTTCAGATATTATCCAAAAAATTTTGGGTGGGTTTTATCAGCTGGTACTGAATTGTTGTGGGACTAAGAGGATCCCTTTCTTTTCCTTCAGTCTCTGGGGCTTTCTGCTTCTGCTGACAAGCATATAAAGAGAATCACCCTGTCCTATGCCCTTACCTCTGCTGGCATGTCTCGCTGCTTTCTCAGTTTGTCATTTAAGATACTCTTTTCCTTGCATGACTGAAAGGATTCATGGCAAAAGAAAAGTCTTTACATACTCTCTATTTCTCCTTTTGTAGCTGCAGCTATGACTTGTACAGACCTGTAACTCTTGCTGCTGTGTTTAATGAGTGACACTTTTCTTCATTCGTGTTTATATATTTGTTTACAATATATTTTATAAATCATATATGAAACGTATTAATTTTAAAATGTCCCTTCACATGTGTTTAAGTATATATGTGTATCTCTCTCCTTCTACACATAACATTTCTCTGAACATCTCTTGGATCTGTAGCTTGAAGATAGGCCGTTTTACATTTTATGGAATGTTTTATAATACTTTACATGTTTATTTTACAATATTTCTGTTTATTGTTGATGTTCTATGTGTATCTGTGGGACTGAATTAATGAATGAAAGAATAATTTCATTCTAAAATGTGAGCTTTGTCTATTAGAGATGGTTTCCATTGCATATTTCTAGCTTTTCAGTTTATTAGGAACATGATTTTACCTTCAGCAGAAATATATAGACATGAAGAGGTATCTTTTTTACTTGGTAAAGAACTCTTCAAAGTTATTTTCATAAGCCCTGTAACTGCTAATTTGTATTTGTAAACAGGTTTTGTTTTTACAGAGCATTTGAACACTACTGTTACCCTTGCTTTTCAGTTGCCTTATAGGTTAGACAGGTAATGTATGATTGAGAGGACTGAGGCCTTGAGAGGGTTAGCTCCGTTTCACAGAAAATTTGCATAGAATAAGAGTAAAAAGTCACATTTCTTGTTGTCTGATATTTCTCTGATTTATAATACATCATGTTCTCAGTTGCTTCAAATTGGAAATGTGTTCCAGTTAATGTGGCTGTGGCACGTTAATGTTACAAGCTGTACTGGTGATTGATAATTCTTAAATAGAGCTAAGATTTCATTTACCTACGATAGCTGATTCTAGGATCTGATATTTGGCTTGGGCTTCAGGGACATTGAATTTTTATTCCGTTCTTTCCTACTTTTCCAGATGACTCTAATGACGTTTTGTGTGATTGTGGCTCCTGCTACAAAATTGTGCTTGTGGTTTTCATGACTAAGTTTCATTCATTTTTTTTAACTGTCATCCCACCACTATATTCCACAAACTTTACCTACCTCTGTGCGTAGCACATAATAGATTCTTAGTGATTGTTGCGTGCATGTGAAATAAATTTCTAGAATGTTAGTGCCTCTTAATATGGGTAAATTTTGAAAGGTTTTTCCACATAAAGGTTAGTTTTATCTAAAAAGACAATGTATGATTTTCAGTTATCTTTAATGTGTCAACACACACATACACAGCACTACATGAAAACCTTGAGGGGACAATGAACAAGACAAATAGTTTCTACTCTTGATGTCTATAGACGAATGTGGGAACAAGACATATATCCCCAAATACATAGGCTGTATTACACACCCATTTCTGGTATGATTATTAGCTCTGTTAAGGAATTGTAAGATTTGAGCTGATTTTTGGAGAATTAAGATTTACAGTAGCATTCATGCAGAGAAAGACACTGATTTCACACATATGTACCATGTAAAGAAATAAAACAAATTAAAACCAAAAATATACTTTTAGATTATAAGATTAAATTAGTGGTTATAAGAAAGAAACAGGAGTAGGGGTGGGTGAAACAGGAAAAAGTTGTATGGGGAAGGACAGAGTTAGACTTTTAGTGATGAATGTAATGCAGTATATACTATGATGTAGATTTATAATGATACACATGGGGAACCTATCATTGTTACAAACCAGTGTTGCTTCAATTAAAACAGTTTGTCAACTGCTAGAACGAAAATGAGCACAACATTTGAGAAGTTCAGCGAATAAAATATTGAATATGAATTGGGTTAACATTGGTAGATGAAGCTACAGATTATAAGGACCTTACGTTTCTTCGAAAATTTTTAAATTTTATTTAGAAGAGGATGCAAAAGCACTGAACTGTTGGAAGGAAGGGGTGGTAAAATCAAGTTTGTGTTATAAAAAGGGGAGGCAGGTAGGCAGAACAGTAAGGAATGTGGAATTTTCCAGGAGATGGGGTTCCTCCTTAAGGAAATGGTAAAAGAGCAGTAAAAAGAAGTTTGTGAAGGATTAAAAAAAATGATGAAGAATGAGGAGCCAGAGCTACCTCCAGAGTGCCCAGCACGGGTGACTAGTCTGGAGTACGGCTTGTCATTAACAGATGGGGATCAAGGCAGCGGGGGAGGCACGAGGGAATGGAGGTTGATACTAACTGCGACTATATCAAGTTGAAGATATCTATAGAAAACCTAGATGGAAATGTCAAGCAAGCAGCTGATCATAGTGTCTTAAAGAACAGCAAGAGCTGCCTGTATTGACTTAGGATGCAAACACAGCTAGGAGGTTGCTCGAGCCTGAGAAGAGTGCGACATTAGAGCACAGGGAGAGAAGAGGGTAGGACCGAACCCTAGGGAACACCAGGTTCAGGAGAAGGATCCAGCACAGAGTCCTGAAAAGCCTGGGTAACATAGCCAAAGGTAGCATTGGCATGTCCCTCTTTATTGCCCCTGCTCAGCGATTGTAAAGACTCCTCTAAGTTTTTCTGGGACTTTAATAAACTTGGCGGTCACTTCTGCCAAAAGGTGAAACATAACTTTGCTTTTATTTTCTATCTTGGATTATTTTGCAGTCATTTTCTAGATTCGGCTAAATGGACCTGTGTATAACTTGCAGGGAAAACATGACCTCATATTGCACGCAAGTAACACTAGGGAAACGTGGATTTCATAATGTCCCTAATCATGAAAAATCTAGTAGCTGAAATTTCATTTGACTTTCTCATATTGGAATTTAATTCCTAGACATAAATATCTTCCTATAAATCATATTTTGATATTTTCATGCCTTAAATTATATATTAGGAAATAATTGTTATTGACATTTTTGACTGTTTCACACTATGAAGAAGCTTGTGTTACGGAATCGCTCTCAGCTAAAATGGCAGTCTGAGATTATTCTTAGACTTTGCATAGTATCCATGGCGATACTTTAATTTTATATGCATTTGATAAATATAGATTAAATGCTAGCTATATCCAAAGCCAAACTATTGCTAGAGAACTGAGTGGTGACAAAAATGAATAACCACGGCTGATGCACAAACCTGGTGTGCACAAGACGACGATGGTCGCCACGCCAGCTACGTCGGCCACTGTCGCGCCTGTAATTCCCACGAGAATAATGTCGAAATAAATGGCAGAAGTGTAATAATATACAGTGAGCTGCTAATTTTTCTCATGCAGACTATTTTGATGCAGATCTTGAAATGTTAAGTTCTTCAAAAACATGTTTTGGTGTTTTTCTGCTTTTGGTTCCCTTACAAGCTTAAAATGCATTTGGAAATTCTAGTAGTCATCTGCCCTCAAAAGAATGTGTAGTCTGTGGAGGGCGAGAGAAACACAATTTAAAATAGAATAAAAGAAAAATTAAGGTCAGGGAGCAGGATGCTGAGCATAACAAGCACGTAACTGCCGGGAGCGCGCGCCGCTGAGTGAGGCTCCGAGTGGTCGCTCCGGGTGGGCGGGAGCGCGCGGCCTGCCCAAGCTCTGCAGACCCAGCTCGCAGTTTGCGTCTTGAAGTTTCCCAGCAGTCCTCTGTCTTTTATTCTTTACACCGAATACTAGTCAGAATTTACTGAAGTTGTAACCGTGTTTTCTCTGACCTGTTTTTCTTCTTACCCAGAGAGGTGTCGGAGTTGGCTTGTGCTAGCTTGTGGGAGCTGTTAAATTTCAAGAGTTTGTGAGCAGGTTATTTGATACAGGTTATTTTAATACATCATTAAAAATTGAACTAAGTAAATTTACAGGCTTAACCAGTGATACTAAAATAAACAGTAATAAACAAAGCTCATTTCTCTTAATTTTATAAGGTTTTGCCGTTATCTCTGCTTCTGCGGTCACGTGCATCTGTGTAGACATACTGTGGAATGCTTGGCTCAAGCACATCTCTTCGCATTTCTGTATTGATTTAGGATGCAAACAACATTCAGTCCGATTCCCTGAATCGGTTATGGTGGGGGTATTAACACCGCCAAAATTAGTAAATATTGAGTCAGGCTTAATTTACAGTTTTTTTTAAGAAAGTGACAAAGAAAATATTAATATCACAGATGAAATTAAAAAATTTTGTATCTGTGTCCATTACATTATAAGTGGCACAAAAATACTAAAGAAATATTCTTCCGCTTTTCAAATACTATTAACTGTTCAGCCAAGGATCCATTCATGGGACTGGCAGGTCCAGTTCGGATACTCGTCTCTTTGAAGTCACCTTCGGCTTTGTCTTCACCATGGATTAAATAATCACTCGGTATTCATTTTCGAAGTACTCATAAGTCAGAAGCTTTGGAGTACATTAAAAGTTACCAGAAGCTTTCTGTGAAAACCAGTTGGTTAGTTTCCAATACAGAACATTGTACATCCTTTGTAAATGTTGTGCTTTATAGCCTGTGTATCAGTAAAAGTCGTGGTAAAGTTTTATATTTACCCATCATCAATCCATACTGTTATTTATCATGGATATTTAGTGGAATTTCTTCCAGAGTGCTGGTCGAGGATTTGCCAGCATGCATAGATCACTCCTAATCATGAACAAGTCCACATAAAGCTTACTATGTCATGTCAAATTCATGTCCTCACTCATCGTTTTTGGTCTCCCCACTTCCTTCCCTTCACCCTTCCCTTTTTCGCCCCTCTCATTCTTTCTTTGTGGTTACCCGGATTTGAAACCGAGGAAGTCAGAAAACACTTGAATTTCATTAACTGCGATCAGTTAAATGAGTACCTTCAAAGATGGCAGGGTATTTTACTAACTTTTTAAAGTTGAGGTAATACTGATTTACAACGCTGTATGTGTTTAGGGGTGTAAGTGTATACACCTCTGCAGATGCATCTACCACATAAAGTACTAGATGGGGGTGTACAAAGTGTTAATGGGTATTTCAGCCTGTGTAGCAAATTACATATTCATGATAACTCATATTAACAATAGTGTTTCTTCAGAAATTCATTTGAGATTTGTCAAGAGTTTGAGTTGTTATAAGCAAGGTTCTGCAAATTATTTCTCTCTAGCCAATTACTCAGTTATTTCAGAATTTTGTTAACCAGGGTATACTGTGACTTAAGTCATTCTAACTGTGGTTTCTAGAATTGGCAGTATAATGACTACCGTGCATTGTACCGGATGCAATGTATGTCACTTCTAACCTTGCAGTAATCTCCCAGGCCGATGCTATTATTTGAACACTATATAGATGAAAAAACTGAGAGTAAGGGAGTTTTTCATTGTTACATATCTTAGAAATTCTGTAACTGACTATTTCACGTTTGTCTCCTATACTGAGTATATTAAGGAGACTAGATCATACACAAAAGCCATTTTATTTTTATGGCTTTTTATCATAAAGATTACTTATCACACAGAAAATTGCATTTCACAAAAGCTTTTTTGTTATGTGCTGGACTCATGCAAACGTTTTATACTCGTTTAATTTTATTTCTGTCTTTTAGCCTCGGTGGAGGACCAGATGATGCAAAAGAAATTATGAGACACAGTTTCTTTTCTGGAGTAAACTGGCAAGATGTGTATGATAAAAAGGTATGTTGTCTTCACAGCACAGTGCTTACATATTTTGGCTAAAAGAAATTAACAGCAAAAAAACAAAGTGGGTAAAACTGAATCGATGTAATGACATTTTTCACTTTCCTCTATCACTTAGTTGACTATTAAGCAACTTAAAATTTTATTGGTGATTGACTCCCAAAATGCATCTTCAAATTTTATTCCGTATTGTCAAGGCAGTGGCTGTTTTTAAGTATCCCAGTGGCTTGTTCATTTGTTTCTCATTGTTCTTTACTGAGAAAAAAAAGCCACAAATGTTATTTCTATGAAAATGAAGTAGCAAACATATCATAATTTGATAATTTCTTTGTGCCTCCAATTTCCAAGTGAACTGTCCAGATTTATTTGGACAAGTCTTTGTTTTCAATAGGAATTTAAAGCAATTTATTTTTAGTGCTTAACAAAGTGATGCATCTTCTTGATCTATTTGGGATGTTTCTTATTAGAAACAACTTTAATGCCATTAACTTTGTGACTTTTTCTTGTTATTTGCTTATTATTTGTCTTTAGTTTTTGCTTATATTTTTCAGAATTTAGGTTTATCAACAGTAAATTAGTGTGTCTATTCCATCTTTTAAAATTTTGTTTATTGCTTCAGGTATTTTAGTACAGCCATTGATTTAGGTTTTTTTTTTTATGATTTTAAAATGCTCATATAAAAATTGTCACTATGACATTTTTCCAGCATTGGCTTAGAATTTGTTTTTGTCCTTTTAGCTTTTTCCGGTTGTTCGTAGTTCTCTCAGAAACATGTAAATCAGTATTTGTGCAGCATATATTTTGTGCGGTCCTCTCCATTAATCCCTGAAGCAAAGACAGGGTGGCATGAGTCCTGAGAAGCTTCATCTCTGTATTGTGTATCTTTCTCAGCATTTCTTAATGCTAGGTTGTTTAAAATAGTGTGCACTATCAAACACCTCTACTTGCGCTTAATGAAAACTCACATCCCTTGAGTTTCTACCATGTAGAAGCCCCGGGGATAAGTTCTGGGTTCTTCGTCACCCGCTGAAAAGCAGATGTCTGTTCATAAGTGTCCTTAATGTTTATTAATTCATTACAGTTATACATGCACTTTATCACTGATGCTATTTCTTCTGAGTCGCGTCTATATATAACCCCCACGGAGCTACATCCTGTTGTTGTTACAGGTGTAGCCACAAAAGAACCTGACGAAGATCAAGGTTTTGTAATGTCTCATAGAAATAATATCTGGTCAGCAGTTTTTACTGGTGCACAAATCTATAAGCCACAACTAAGTCTCCCTTTGAATACAGTCTGCCCAAAGAAAACTCAATTTTTGTGTATGCAAACTGTCCATAGAAAATAACCTTAGTAGAATTCATGTGCAGTAGAGAAAAGGGGAAGAATATAGTTAAAATAGTTTCCCAGTAAACTTCAGTTTTTAAAAAAGGAATAGGGGATTGGAAGGGAAAAGCGGGTAAGTTTCTGTAGAAGACAGTTCAGAACCATCCGAGGCAAGGCATGGACTTTCTTTCGTTCAACTAGGAGATTAAAATATAGCCCCAGATTTTCGCATCAGTGTTTGCTTCTCCATGTTAAATGGCTGATGGGCATCACCGAGGCGAGTCCTGACTGCAGTCAGCACACAGGGAAGACTCAAGGCTTACTTGTCTCTATTCCATAGATCTGAACACGCCCAGAGTTGATACAGTAATTTCCCAGGCAGCTAGCTGCTTGTGGTGAGTAGAACTGAAACAGCAAGTAGAAAAGGAAGAAACAGCTGCCAAAACGTAGCTCCCAGTGAAACATGGGAAAGGAGTTAAGTGGTGGTCAGTGATAAGAACATAACCACCGCACACGAACAGGGGGGTTCAGGGTCTCGCATAAAGATGCATGATCACTGAAACTACAGACTTCTCATAAGCGTAGAGCTCATCACTGACTAACACCCGCTAAGATTTATTTGGGGTATCCTGGATATCAGATGAGGGGTGGATATGTTCAGCCATCCTAATATACCTGAAGAACAGCAATACCTTAAATTTTGAGTCTCTTTCTTTCTAAAAGGCCGTGAAACATGATAAGGTCTGTCCCAAATAAACAAGCATTATTTTGGAAATGCTGATGCCAGGAGCTGTTTTAGTATAAATTTTGAAATAAATTGCGAAGTCAGTTTTTGTGGGGTCCATATGTCCTCAAAATGTCTTAAGAACTTAATTCAACCAGGATATTGCTTATTAGTTTATGAATATATTTGGGACATTTGCAGTTTTTGTAGATTCCTTATTACCTGATTGCTGATTATTTTCTTATATATTTTGACAAATCTAGAGATGAAGACACCTATCCAGATCTGTTGTCTTCAGGGGAAATCTAGATCTTTTCCTAGGAAATGTGAACAAACAAACCAAAAAGAGTAAATCTTGGTCGCAAGCATCACAGCTAAATACTGAAGTGTAGAAAGCTCCTTCCTGGGTCTGCTTCCCCCTGGGGTGTGGGCTGGCGCCTCACCCGTCACAGTCATGACCTGACATGTCTTACAAGTCTTTAGATTCGCCCCGTCGGACATTTTATTGTATGAGTTTATAAATGTCTACAGAAGCGTTACACTATTTTCTATATAGCTCTACACAAATGCTGAAGTTTTGTGTGAAATTGCGTTGTTCTGCAGATTAAGAAGAATTGACATCTGAACAGTAATGAGCATTTGAACCCAGTGTATTTTGCCATTGATTTAGTTCTTATTTTATTGTCAGGAATGTCTGATCATTTCCAGTGTTTAGTGTTAACTGCTTACAGTGGTAAATAGAAACGATGGATTTGAGCATCCTGACTTTGTTCCTAATCTTAGGGAGAAAACATCTTTACCCTTAATTATGATATATTAATGGTTTCACATCTGCTGTCAATTTCTTGGCTTTTAAATGTCATTTTCCTATTAGAAAGAATCCACGCTACTTGGAGAAGTGGTTAATTCCAGAACTGGAAAGGGAAAAAATAAGATGACCCCAAAGAATTTTGTGGTGTCAGAAAATAAAACACAGAGGAGGAAAGACACATATGGAAGGACATGTTACTAAGATACAGAAACCATACTTCCCAGCAGTGAAGTGCGGACTGTTTTTATTGTGAGAATATATAACGTTATGACCCAAAGACTTAAGATTGATATCCATGAATTCGTATTACAGAAATAAATAAAGAACAAATACATTTTGTGAGGAATATGCCTTCCTTACAGATGATTCCAGTTAATAAATGTAGGGGGATTAACAGAACTACAAAATCATCATTAGAACACCAGAGTGTAACAGAGGGCAAATGTTGAAGAATGAGAGGATATAAGAATCTCAAAAGGGCTCTCCCATAGCATTTAGTAATTTCAAAGACTAATAGAGTAACTTTGCATGCCCAAGTAGAGATTATTATATCTGAAGCATGTGACATACACACACACACACACACACACACACACACACACCCTGAGTGGAATACTACACAGTCACCATAAAGGAAGCTCTTGTCAGCAACATGGATGGCGCTAGAATGGGAGATCATGCCAAGCAAAGTAGTCAGAAAGACAAATATCAGCTAATATCATTCAGGTGTGGAATGTTGAGAAACCCAACAAAGGACCATGTGAGGCCAACCTGAGAAGCACTGGAAAGCCAGCTCTAGGACTGAAGCTACCAAGGGGCAAAGGGAGGGGGAGCGGCCCAAGAAGTGGGGAGCACAGAGGCTGTGGACTGTGGGTGTCTTGGTGGTAGGTACAATATGGTAAGTACATCCAGGGGGCCAGTCCTATGCCTCTGGTGCACAATTAATGTAAACCAGTGTCATAGCAAAAGATAAGACATATAGAGAACTGTATGTTAAAGATTTTTAAATGATTCTTCATTTATAAGTATGTAAGTAAAGTTGTTAGTAGAAAGAGGAAAAAATGAATAAAAGCCAGTCAATGTAAAGTTGTTGAAAACTAGGCAGTGCATAGGTTTGCAGACTTCCAGATTAGGCAGTGATGACGATTGGCTCGTGAAACAGCACATTTCAGTAAGATAGATGACGCCTATGTTAGACTACTAATTGTAATAAAAACTTAATGGGGGGGGGGATAAAAGGTAGCTTTACAATGGAGAAAAACAGGCTGCCATGTCTTAGCCCAGAGATCAGTGTTAACCTCACAGTGACAAGACATATGATGCAGCCTTTGATAGGAGCACTGGGAAGGGATGTCATTAATGTGTATCGTGTGTTGTGTAGCCTGAAGAACTCACCTAGAGGGACGTTCCTCAAGACTAGCTGGCCAGATGGCTTAAACAGTGTCAACTCCATAAATAGGAAGGAGTGTGGAACCGTCACAGATTGAAGGAAACTCAGGTAGCAGCATGATGACAGAATGCAAGGTGGAGCTCTGGATTGCATTTTTGGAACAGCAACGGGCAGGGAGAGGGGAAATTGTGAAATGTGAAAATGTTGGTAGTTGGTGGTTCTGTACCAGTATTGATTTATTAGTTTTGATAATTGCCCTATGATTATGTAAGACATTAGCACTTGGAGAAGTGTGTAAAGGGCATAGAGGAATTGTTTGTAGGATTTTTTAAGTTTTCTCTGAATCTAAAATGAGAGCAGTAAAAATGTGATATTAGTGTAGATTTTTTATGCCTAATTCATCAGTAGTTAAGGAAGTTGACTTCAGTTCCCAGTATGGTAGGTGTTGAGTTTTAATGAAAATTTTTTCAGCTTTTAATAAAGGATCATATTGCTTCCATCATTTATATTCTAGTGAAATAATAAATTACATCGATTGCTTTTCTGATGTTGAATGGCCCTTCAGAAAATCCCGCTAGTCATGTTGTTTAGCCTTGATACATACAGGTTGCTGACTATGATAGTTTTTTTTAAGGGATTTTATGTCTTTAAATCATGGGTGATGCTAGGATTTTTCCCTTATTACCTAAAATATCTTTATTTCAAGATCATGTTTGTGTTTTTAAAGTTCACTGGGAAATATTCTT